TGGTATGGTACTGGTATGGTACATAAATTTGCATATAATTACTATCGCCCAAAAGTATAAATATGTAAAACAGATTTTTCACAACTAATGAATCGTTTTGATTTTCAATATTGATCCAGGAATCTATTGAGGAATAAAATGCATCTATTAATTAAATTCGCATTATGATTATTACCTCAAGAACATCGTTGAAGGCGTTTTGTTAAATTGGTTTGTAAATAACGTTATGATCTGAATCCATCTAAGGTGAGAGATTCAAATTTCCGTTCTCTGCTACCCTCGAACCAATAAGTATGCTTCGGTTCAACACGCTCTTCAATAAGGTCTCCCATATTACATCATCGAGAGATGGTAGAAAACATATCACCTTAAAAAGAAATCTTTGCATATCCAGTCATAAAATAAGATTTCAAAGACAAATCTTGACATTTAAATAAATAATTATAATCAATGTCTAGCTATCATTTTATATTTTGTTTACACATACGTATAATTTTATTTTGTCTAGATTTTTTATAGTTTCAAATGTTAAGAATTCAACATGTATGTTAATTCAAATATATAAGCAAGAAATACATTTACTTTTTTTGGTAGATTAAATATATTTACGATATTAAATATACAAACATTTAATTGTTATATATTTCTGTAATGTAAGAAATTAGAATTTATTTCACGTGCAAAATTTGAAGAAAAAGTAAATATTATATTCAAGGTCATAAATATAAACATATTTGGTCTTTTAAATTCTACAGCCTTAGTAATAGTAATATTCTTTAATTATAATATTAATTATTTTAATGTTAACGATGTGATGTAGAATGGTATGATTTAATGATGTTTCTAGCAATTTTAGAATATATTTAATATAGTGCTATATTACATAATTCTCAATTATGTGACATTCAAAAACTGCAGAATGCACATTGTAATCTTTGTATCTCCATTTTCAATTAAATAATGCTTTTTTTTAACCAATTTTAGCAAACTCTAGTTTGCGTTAATCAAACTCGTGTATTTTGCTTCACTTCATACTCGAGTGGGTGTAAAAGTCAACTCACTCGAAATATGAAGGTTGACTATAATAAATAATTCACACTTATAAAACTAATTTTTATGTTGATCTTTTTATTATGATTATATAAATTTGATTTATTTATTATTAAAATTCATCAAAATATCTGAATAATGATTACTTTCCGATCTGAAATATTAGATCCGAGATGAAAGTAGTAAAAAAAAATGCAGTAATTGCTTTACGGAATGATAGTTGTCGCATGCTGGTAAGTGCACCGGAAATAAGCAGAAATGGCCTCTAATAAAAGAAAATACATTCATCATTTGTCTCGACCGAAAAAAATATAATTACTTTCACTAAAAAGTAAACAACAAAATAAGTAAAACTTTTAATAGGATTTGAGTCAAAATAATTTTATACTATTAAATATATTTTATGTATTAATCTAGTTATTAATTTCAATTGAAATTAAACATTTTTGTGGACAATCTATAGTTATGTTCAGTGATTTCGTTTTTAACACATTTCCAAATTTTTCATTTAAATATATTTATATAAATATTGGCAACCAACATTACATGAATGCTCGTATTCTTAACCTACAAATAGAAGATATACTGATAGAGATTAATGTAAATTGTAGATATGTCAATAAACTTATATAGTACAAATCTTCAAAAGTTCCTGAACAAGTGGCCTGGCAAGAGGTATTTCGGTATCTACAGGTTCCTGCCATTGTTTTTTGGACTTGGGGCAGCTCTAGAATTTTCCATGATCAATTGGAGAGTTGGAGAAACGAATTTCTGTAAGATCTTATATAATACACACTTGAAGTCTCATTAATATAGTTTTTTCCCCTCCTAAGATCACACATACAAGAAAAGACAAGCCAAAAGTATTGTTGAAGAAGAAATCCATCACCACTGACTGCAAGATGCCTGCAGGAGTCTCTTGGCCAAGGTATCTCAAATTTTTGTCAGCAGCAATGCTATCAATGTTTGCTGGATCACAAACAGTTCATATCTATTATAATCCTCTGAAAGATCTAGATGTGTATATTGAGAAAGAAAGGAAACTCCATAACTTAGATGAGAAAACATAGAGAGAGAATTGTAATTTTAATTAATTTAATTTAAAAATAAAAACAATAGATCAAAAATATACAATGATTTTTTTTATAGAACAAATTACAAATTCAATAGATTCAGTTGTTCATTGTACTCTTTATAAAGTCTCTGCCAGTGCAGTTTGGATTTAATCAAAGCCAAAACTTCATTCAACAGTTTCTTTTTTGATATCCCCTAAAAATATGAAATAATCAGTTTTTGTGTAACACGTAAGGTGATAAAATTTACCAGTATGTTGTCAGTTCTAGGTTTTTTGCTGGAAGAATGTGTTGGACCCATGAGTTCATCTAAAATCGATCGTATCCGACATTCTGGTCCTATAACATATTACAGAAAATTTAAAACAAATTACATTAGTAATATAGGTTTTTTCATACCTTTTTCCAATAGATGGGTTACGGTTATCAATAACCAATGTCTAAATTCCGATGCTGATTGTAGAAGTACACTGGCAGAAATTTGCGATTCAAGGAAACTAAGTTTAACACCCGATGGTAAATTGTCATTCAAATTGTGCGCGCTCATTTGTCTTTGCAATGAAGCCAATGGTAAATTTCCTCCAACAGATCTGGCTATGGATCCACTAACCTTACTCAAAGTGTCTTGAGGATTCGATATCAAAACCCTGAAAAATACAAAAATAGTTCATTTGACTTGTGTACATGTTTAATAAATTTACCAAGTTTGTAGGTCTAAATTATAAATGAAAGCCCTTCCATCGCTTAATGTAACCAATGGGAGATCTGTGGTCGTCAAAGAACACCCGCTAACCGATGCTACAAGTTTTCAGTTAACATTTACCATGATATCATACATTTTTCTTACCTTTGTTGCTTAACAAACTTCGGAGAGATATACGATTTAAAATCGATTTTCCTAAATCTATGTTCCACATATGTAATAATCCAGTTTTCGTGAGCACCATACAAATACCAGAGTCCGATAAACATAGCGCAGATGCTACATCTTCTATTAACAATGGCGGAAGGGGCCTTGCACCACATTTTATTTCATATGTGTTTATACTCAAATCTTCGCAACACGCAACAATCAGTCTTCTATTATATTGAATACACTTAATTACTGATCCTGTAATTAAATTAATTAGTGCTTTCAGTATTCAATACACACACAACACACATACCTAAATACGTTTCCCAGATTGGTTGTTTGTCATCTGGGTGTTTAAATACTTCTATCCTAGCTAGTTTCCCTTTTGGCGTAGTTAAACCGCCATTTGTTACCTACATGTTTTCAATTAATTGGTATAAATATCGACGATTACAATGCTTACTTGTAATTTCATAAAGTCGTTCTTTTTTGTGATAGTTTGCCCTAATGGCATTTTTAACGGGTCTAGTACATTGATGAACTGGACTATTGGTTGATCTCCAGGTACTTCGGAACACGTCAATTGATTAATTTGAACACCAGGTGGTTGAAACGTTTGTGGGCGAACCGAGGGTCTGTCGAGATTTTTTATGTATATTCAAGTGCACGATTTGTAGTCACATTATAAATTAATGAGATAAGTTGAATAACTTACATTAAGCTGGAATGACTTGGTATAATATTCGTTTGTTTGACTTTCTCTTGCACCACAACAATTTTGCTCTTTGTTGGCGAAGACGAACTAAACGTCGATGCTGCTTGTATCGTCGGTACCTCCACAGTTTCCCTAAACAATGATTATTAGCAGTACGCTACAATAGCATTACAATTAAACTTACTTGACAGGTGTTGTTGGGACGGGCTTTAAAAACATAGGCGTTATTCTACGTTTACCGCTAGGTAATCTTGTTTCAATCTGTTTATTAGATGCAACTAATAATCCATTCTGTTTGGGCGATTCCAAATTGATCGTGGGTATAGTTATTTTGGGTATTTCGACATTTATTTCATTCATTTGTTTCATACTAATATCATTAATTGCGTCCTGTTCTGATAACATTTCCGGATATTCTATAATATGGCTTCCGACGAAACTAGAATTTAGCAAATTTCTTTGCATAGATTTTCCATACATTCTCTCATATAAAGAGTCCTAAAAAATGCGATAGTTAGCGTTAAGCGATAATTTTTTTTTACATGAAATAAAACCTTTTCACATTCCGATAATGGATTTCCAATCGCATCTGTTGTGAAAATAATGCATGCCACACTTCCATCCCATGAGCATGCAAGTAGGTGTTGACCATTACTGCTCCAAGATATATCTAGGACACTGTCATCAAATAAGTCTTTAATTACAACTAAAGGTCTTTTCAAAGATGTAAGCCAAACACTAACAGATTTATCTCTAGATCCGACAGCGCAGCAACAATACTGTTGAGGTTTAGGACTTCCCGGAGTCACTTTCTTTAAAATATTTGAATTAAAACGCTAAAATTTAATAGAATTTGAATACTTGACTGTTAATAATTGTATATGATTTCTTACGACGCAAGTTACTGCTTTCCTGTGACCAACAAAATCTTTATCCTGTTTCCATCCATCTCGTTCAATAATTTGAGCTGTAGGTCCACCGCCATTCATAGCATGAGCGGAAACTAAGTACTGTCCATCAGGCGACCAAGATAATCTTAAGACATGAGTAGTTGCAGAACAATCTACAAACGCGTCGGTAACAACTTCCTGCTGTTGCCAATCAGCTGTCCGCCAGACTCTCAGTGATTTATCATCTGATTGACTGGCAATATACTTTCCAACTGGATCCCATGTGACGCCCTACAACCAAGGGTATAATATCTCTTGAGATTTGCACAACTTGCAACTAACTTTGACCATGCCAGAATGACCTTTTAAGACAGCCACTTTCTCTGGAAACTTGTGTGTATTCCAAATGATAACTGTGTTGTCCACACTTGCTGATGCTAACCAACCATCGTGAGGAGCCCAAGCTAAATCTAAGATATCCCCATTGTGTGAGTTTAATGTGTGGGTACACTTCCATGTCTCTACGTTCACTTTGCCACCACTTCCAAATAAAGTTGATGATCCTTCTCCAGTCAACTTCCATATCATTACAAGTTTGTCATCTCCACCAGAAGCTAACAAATGGCCTTGACAACTCCATCTTACAACATTGACACAAGCTGTAAAAAAAATAATAAACTTTAATAAAATGTAAATAGTTTGTATATATCTAACTAATTATAAACTACTTATACACTTGCATCAAATATCATCTTTGTTTGTAATATATAGTGTATTCAAAACAAATATAACTGAATGATAGTAGGCTTAAAAGTTATAAAACAAAATAAATAAATTAGTGATTAATTGTTCTTTGTTTAATACCTAAATGGTTATCCATTTGACATAATTGCTTTGGTATATTGGGATCATTTTCATCAGAGTATGATAATATTGGAGCTATGTTCCAAATGACAATCCGTCCGCCTTGGCCCCCTTGGCCGCCTGTTGCAAAACGTCCTCCCTTTGGATGTATATCCACGGAAAAAATCGGTTTATTATCTGAAAATTACGCATTTCGAGGTTAGATAAAAATTTAAACTTTTAGCACAATTTTTATATTTACCTTCATGTTTAACCCAGGCTGGTTTTAGCAGAATCATAATTTATATCTGTGACCGGTCCACTTGACTAAAATGAAAACATCGTCCAATAATTAAATAAATATGAACTTTCCCTCACTTATTGGAAATTAATTAAATTCCTATATACTCTTTGATACTCTTGTAAAGTTGAGCATTTTATTTGTAAATAGATTGCAAACATGGCTGCCAACAATTTGAAAAAATAAAATAAAAAAAGTTAAAATTTGCGAACGCAACCAAATTAATTCCAACAATTTTTTCCAATCAAATCAAAGTTAACTATTCTTAAAAGAAAGTAAGAAATATCCTAGCTTTTAATTAACACTTAAATGTACAATTTTATTTATTGTTTTTAGTGTTTTTAGTTATTCAGAGGTTATGTTCTGCAACTAACTTCTGTTCATTAGTTACAGGCAGTTACAGGTTAGATTGTAAGTCTGTCAAAAGAATTTGTTTTCTTCAAATTCAAATACACGTGTTTTGGACTGAAGTGTGCCAGTAGGGTTACAGTGTTAAAATATTGTTGCTGGTGACAATATATATTATTAGGAATAAAAGTTTAATCAATAAGTGATTAAAATGGCTGAACATGTGCAAATTCACATGGAACGGATGGTGGAGGAGTTTGAGGAGATGGCAAGAACTGAAATATTTTCAGATGAAGAAATAAGGTAATAAATTTATGAAATTATTGTTTAATGTATCTAACATATAATTTATTTTTTAGAGTAATAAAGAATAAGAGAGAAAACTTTGAAAACAAAGTATGTGGTATGACTTCACACTCACTGCTAGGCTTTAGAAGTTACATTGAGTTTGAGTATAACATTTACAAACTTATAAAAGCCAGAAGAAGCAAATTAAAGCAGGGTGAGAAAATAAAATCTATAGATCAAAAGATCTTGAAGAGGGTTGCAAATTTGTATCTGAGAGCCATCAAGTTATACCCTGAAAAGGATATAGAATTGTATTTTGATTATTTCAACTTCTGTCATACAACAAAATATGTTGGAAATGTGGCACATATCTGCTCGCAGCTGATTCAGGTAGAATTAACCATACTGTTATTTAATAATAATCTTTCAATAATCTTTTATATGTTTTTTAGTGTCACAGCAAGAATGAAAATGCTTGGTTGACAGCAGCCCAATGGTACATGTATAGTAAACACAAGAATGTGGATCTTGCTATCAAGACATTGCAGAAAGGAATTGTTATGATTCAAACTAGCAAAGTATTGTACAAGAAATGCATTCAATTTGAATTAGCTGCACTCGAAAAAAACTCTGATGAAGAAGCTGAAGCTCTTTTAAATAAGAAAATAAATATATATTTTGAAGATATAGTATCTAAAATACCTGAAGTTCAATTCTATGTAGATATTTTTTTTATGTTAAAAAATTATGCAAAAACAGTGCCAGCTCAGCTGAAAATAGTTGAATATTTGCAGAAAAATCACTCAGATAAAGCCGTTACTTGGCACGTATTAGCGGAAAACTCTAAGCGTGGTAAGTTGTGTTTATATACTTATATATATATATATCAAATCAATAATTTGTTCTGTTATTTTAGAGGAACCTGAGAAAACGTTCGAAGAAAAATTAGGATCTTCTATAACGAATTACAAAGAGGGATTGGAAAAATTAGAGAGTGAGGAAAAAGCAAAGCTGTGGAATTACTATTTGAATTCTTTACATGGATTGTGTAAAAAGAAAGACAATTTAGAAATTATAAAACCTGTAATGGTTAATGCATTTAAAGAAGCAAGTAATGAAAATGTCTGTACGGAATCACATTATATCAATTGGTTGAACATATCTACAGATGTTGAGGGGAAAGAGATATTGGAAATGGGCACAAAAAAACTTCCCAATTCTGTAGATTTATGGCTGCTTCGTTTACGTTTCTGTATATTAAGTAAAGATGACAAGATGAAAGTAGTAAACGTATTTGAATCTGGCGTTGAAGCTTTAAAGTCAGATTCGTTTAAACTATGGCTCACCATGTCTGATTACTATCCAGCAAATTGTGATGAGGTGGAAACTGAAGACTTCTTCAGGGGAGCAATTAAAGAATTCCCAGTTGTTTTTAAAGTAAAATATATAGAATGGTTAGCGCAATTTAAAACAATTGATGAATGCAGAGAAGCATATCGACAAATGAAAGATAAACCCTATTCGAAAGAATTATTTCTTGCTATATGCAATATAGAGATGAAGCAATCTGATGGAAATTATGTTGAATGGGAAAAGGTTTATGCGATAGCCTGTGCAGAATTCGGGAAAAACAATATCGATATTTGGTTGAATTATATTAGATTTTACATGTTTCATAATAAAGTGAGCAACGCGAAGGAATGCATTTTTAAAGTTATGGAAGACGCGAAAAAGAATTTGAACGACGATTTGTATACTGAGTTTAAACGACAATTTGATGATTTATATGAGGAGTATTGTATGGAATAAATATAGAACATTTAAAAATATATGTATATTTAAGTATTTGCGTTTATTTATTCAACACTAAAGGTATGGAGGAGAAAAAATATTTAAATTACACTTAACTAGTGCTACTACTACCCACGCATAAGGAATAAGAAATTTATGCACAAATAATGAAGAAGAAATGTTTGAATTAGTCTGAAAATTAGAAAAGATGTTCTGATTGATACTGAACGTAAAAATCACATTTATTTTCATGTTTCATCTTATAAAATTAACACCTAAAATAATGAAATAATATTGATTTATAATTGAAATTCATCGGACAACTTGCGAAAATACAAATTATCTTTTATTGTTATTAAATTAATTGTTCTATGGAAAAATAAAAGTTGATAATAGGGTTAGAGGTGAAACCTTATATTGTTTTATGATAATTTAGATAAAATGTAACCATTTAAATAATATTCAAACAAAATTTGTCATATTTTATAAAATGAGCAACCACGTGGCGAAGAATAACAAACAATAGATAGTTTTGGATTTATTTAAACAATCAGCGAATAGAGATACGTTTTTAAATTATAAAATATTTATATTATAATTCTATTAAATGACATATCTGTTGTGTTTACAGGTACGTACTAAATAAGAATAACATGTAAGTTAAATTTATAAAAGTAGAGGCGCTATTTTTCAGAATAACTAGATAAAGTATGAAAAACAAAACTATTCTATTCACGGATTACTGGCTATAATACACCGTTTTATTCGAGAACTATTCGTTATCTGCCTTTATGGCCCTGCTTCATTTTGTCAAAAGTGTCGATTTTAAACTTACGAATAAATTAATGATCAAATTTTTCTAGTTTTGGTTATTTAAAAAAAACATGTGGTTCCACTGGCGGCACATCAAAAGTTAATATATATAGAAATTAATTTAATACACAAATTTCACAATAAATTCTATAATATATTTACTTTTATGTAATCGTAATAATTATTATAATATATAATATATCGCTTATATCATTTTTAATTATTATAAGAGTTGAAATGGCGTTGTCGGAAATGCGAAGATATTCTTTCTTAACGGAAATCCATAAAATATCTAAAGTAATGTTTTAACGTCCCGTCATTATTTAATTCTATAATTTTCTCTCAAATTTGCAGAGTATGCAGTAGAATTTATTGTTCCGAATTATTAGAATAAAAATTGATACATTTTTAAACATCTTTTTTTACAAGTCTTCCTTTGGTAGGAGTGTTTTTCCTTCGAGTATTTTTTAACCTCTGTAATTTCTCGGAGGACGTCAATATTTTCTCAGCCATGTATGCAAGTTCGTGATGTATTCTCTAATTCGTGATGCTCAATATGTCCTCGCATATTTCAACTTTTTTCAAAAAACAAATAGCATTTATTAATTTCGATAAAATGCAGTAACTTCATTGTTATGCATTGCAATATTTTCTTTAAATTGTGCACTAAAAAATATATACAGTAGAGCATATGTAGGATTGAGAACATTCGTGCCTCTTGTTTCTTGCTCTTGCCTCTTATTGATATATTTTTAGATTAGAATATCCAAATTTATTCCAGATATTTTATTCTTGAGAAAACAATATGTACGACCAACAGAATATTTTAGATAAATGAGCACATCTACAAATCCAAACATTTTTTTCGTAAATTTCTTTATTAAAATATCTTAAATGTTTTTGTTTGAAACTGAATACCTAATATTGGTGCGGACTCTTGACTATAATCTATTTTTATTAAACGGTAGAGAAGCAATCTTCTTTTAAGCATATCTTCAATTAAGCAATTGGAATTAGCCTCAGCGGTTAGTCCACATTCATCCTTTTTTTTGGTTTTCCATACTAAGGGCCATAATAAATGATTATTTTAGTACGTATGTGCTGATTATGGTGTAACAGTGCACTAAATATAGAGAAATAACTGCACTACACATCAAGAATGAACGTGCACAAAACAATTTATTTGTGCCGCAGGTTACGTTAAGTTGCATAGATGGGAGAAAGAGAATATAGATGTGGTATAATTTCTTAGAAAATTTGTGTATTTTTTACATCGGCGTGAGTAGTTAAAGGTTAAGTATAATTATGAATGTGCTGGATTAAGAAAATATGGGTCTATTGTTGTGTCCAACCGTTATTATTACAATTATTATTGTTAATATAGTGTCTCTTAGTCGCCACAATAAATATATACATCAGCATAAAGGTAGCCTTCATCGAGACCAGAAAGAACATCGTTTATATTTTCAACCAGACGCAGAATAAGCATTTTCATCGAGACCAGCTACTGAAAGAACATCGCTCATATTTTCAACCAGACGCAGAATTGGCAAAATCCGTATAGGAGCAGTCTTATCAAAATCGTGCTTACTCCTCAAACTCCCACCGCTTAGTTAACTTTATACGTAGAGTAAGGATTTGTAATTAGTCTTAGGAAGAACGCTAAAGAATCAACTACTACAGATAAAGCAAACACTTTGAAGAATATTTTAATAATAAACCAAAAATGTTATTCATTATTTACCAAACCTAAGGCTCCACAACAGACAACAGAAGAAGATATCCCACAGTGTCCAGAAAATCATCCCTGGGACACGACACTATATGGCAAGACCGACAAGCGAAAGACCGTCTATTGAAAGCCCGACGTTCGAAATCCCGACTACGATAATCCCGACAATCAAAATCCCGACTGTATCGAAATCCCGAATATATCGAAATCCCGACTACCATAATCCCGACAATCGAAATCCCGACAGTGACTTTTATTATTATAATTTCTACAATAACATTTTATATTATTCTACTATATTTTAATAGGTACGACGGATACTGAAAAAAATATTTTTAAGACTTATGTCGATGGCTCTTTTGCCCGATTATTAATTGTTGTTATTTATTCTTAATAACAATAAATAATATTAATTATTATTGTATATTTTAAAACTTAAAAATTATTCTATAATAAAATTACTTTATGTTATTAACAATAAATAACAACAATTAATAATCTTATTAAATTTTAGATTGTCGGGATTTCGATAGACACAAACCTATGTTTTTTAAATAATGAAAATATTAATAATATGTATATAGCAATACCTCGTACAATCCTACATACGGCTTAGATTTGTCCGGATTCACTAAAATAAATTTAAAAAATGGGTGAAAGACTGAGTGAATAGCTCTTTGTATGTATGTGTAAAATACATTTTTATTATTCTCAAAAAAAAATAATGATTTGTTGGTACATAAATGATCGGGTTTTCACTTTTTATTTGATTTAGTTCCTCGATTAGTCCGGTTTTAAACAGTCTGGAATATTGGCAAAACTGATTATCAAAACTATGCGAGGTATTGCAGTCATTGATTAACATGAAATATTTAGGTAAAAGTGTAGATGCGTTTTCAAAATTAAACATAAGGAGATCCATTTTTACATTTATTAACACCGTATAAAATACAATATAAATATTACCAAAAAAAAAACAATTTGCAGTAGCAGTGTTGCAAATAACAATTCAAAAAATATATATAGATGATACTTAATATTATGAATTTTTGTTTAATTCCACATCGTGTTTTATTTAGTTACTTACCGTCCAGTAATCGATTGTTTTAAGAGAAATAATTAGTTAAGAATGTTTAATGTTTATTTTTATTTAGTGAGAGTGGTTACATTTTACATTTAATCGTTTTGTTCTTTTTTTTCACCATACAATCTGCTATGTTATTGACTTGTTTCAATGCGTTTATTGCGGTTTATTTACATCTTTGTTTTTGCTTATACATATTTCTTGTTTTCCTTCGACGTACAATATATGGACAAAAATATATGAGCAGTTCGTAAAGTTACAAGTAAATTGTTTTCTAATTTAGTTTCCGGTTTGCAATTATCCTCCTTTTACATTTATCTTCGTCTATATTACAACACATACTTATGTTATTATCTATTATTAGTATATTGTATATGGTTTTATTCATTACACTTAACCAGTCTATTAACTATGCTACTACGTATGTATGAGACACATCGATAAAAAAAATTGCATACTATAGTATAACTTTATTCTCTGTGGCGCATGGCCTAATAAACTGGTTAAGTACAGGACCTTTGTTATACAATGTAATATTACATTTTAGGTATGTTTTTTTTGATAATAAACAAAGTTAACATAATTAAATTATCGAAATTGAATGATTTTATTATAAAATCTATTAGAACATTATTTTTTTTCCATTACCGAAATGTAGGACACTGATCTACAAGATACAATTAGTATTTAGTTAATATAATTCAATTTCGATTAACCTAATCCGTGGTTGAAACATTCGCAAATATTTCTTTTCAAATTCCTCATTCGATACACCCTGCTTATTAAACATATATAGTTTCATAAAATATCACATATTATACATATTTTTCACATTTCAGTTATAGTTCTTTCTAAGTACTCAGTTTTCTTATATTTTTTAAAATTTATTTAGTGAATGTGAGTCTTTATTAGTATAATTTACATCCATCTTTTGGTATTCGTCAAAATAAATATAGTGCTATGAAATTGAGTGCTATGACGTTACGAAGGAAAAAGTTTTACTATTTTTTTTTACTAAGCCGCCTTTCGTGTGTTACATAAAGCCAAACAACAAAATAAGCTGTCATAACTAAGACATTTACACATCAAAGTAAAACTGTTTCCTTTCCACTCATTATATTAAATAAAATCTTTTTTGGATAACATTAATTTATAAAATATAAATTATTTATAGTGGTAACAAATAAACATATTTATATAATTTTACATTTGGTTTAAATAAAGATCATGTTTTGTTTAATTCATGTAGAAGAATTCTAATAGAGTAATTTTTGTGGCAGGGCTAAGATTTAGAATAGGGTGATACAATAGCTTATTAGATTTCGATGTTATCAATTTTCCATTATTATTTTACTATGCAACAATTTCAAATTACTAATTTACTGTTTTACCAAAAATAGTGCATATAATGCGCTACTTGGACATCGAATAATTTAATTTTATTATAGAAAATTGAAAACAACTATTACATGAAAATATGTAAGTAAATAAATTAAATGTAAATTGATGGGTATAACAATTGTTAAAGTTACATAAATTTATTAATTATTTATCTCACATGTAAAATATACAGTATTTGTTAAGGTGATTTCATTTTTTGAACACTCTCTATTTGTCGTTTAAACATTTATAGTATTTGCCTAATTTTTTTAATCATATTTTGTTTATATTCGCTTTAGTTTAGTACATTTTAATAGCAGAAAATTATAAAACAACTGAAATATTTTAACGATCGAACATTTTCGAAACATAATAAATTTTGTATTCGTATAGAATAGTGTATTTTGTGAATGCGTGTTTTATTACTCCAGTACATTTATATTATACTAGAGTGAAATTATTCGACCCGAGTTGGTAAAGGGTATTGGGTTTTCTATCTGATATACACGTTAATTAAGTTCAAACATCAGACACACGAATGGAAGCTAAAATAAACGACGAAACTGTTACAACTAATAGAATGAAGTTTTCGTAAATACGTACTTTTTTAATTAATTCAAAATCAAAATACAAATGTTTTAATAAATTATTTAATGCATTTTAGTAATTTAATTATATAAAATTCCGATTATTTAAAGGAAAAACATTTTGATATATTTATTTTATATTTTTATTTTTAGGTATATAGTTTACATTTAGTTCGTTTTAATTAATTCATTATATAGACATACAATACTCTTTTAAATTCAAGTACATTTAGCTCTTAGGAGATATGTTCCGATCTTATTCAGTTTTCTTTCTCAATACTTTCTCCTTTGAATTTAAGTCAAAAACATGTATTATAACTCAATACTTACGCTTCATCGACTTTTTTTTAGTTATATCGTAGAGAGTATTAGACTATAAGTTTATTTGTTACAAAATGAAAGTAACTCTAATTTACTGCTCAACTTCGTATTTTTTATGTATATATATATATTAGAATAAAATCACAAAATATATATGTATTTTGTTGTTCATTTTAGAATTACATCATGTTCTTACGGCAGCGATTATTTGTCACTTTCATTGTATTTACACAAATTTTTGTTTCTTTCGTCTCTCTCTCATTTTTCCATAAAAAAAACAGGTACTAAATTTAATATGAGCTAATTCTGACATGAATACTATTTACACTATATATTTGGTGCGATATAAAAAACGTTTTTTTTTCTTCTGCTTAATTTGGCTTAATACACAGGTATAAAATGTACGTGTTATTTTAATTGGACAAAATTTAACTAATCTAAGTATGTGGTGTGGATTATTGTTGTTTTGCGCTTGTTTTGTCTCGTTTTGTTTTTTTCCCTAAATAAATCTCGTCTAAAATCTAAAAATTTCCTGAGTATTTTAGTGTTCTATCCAAGCAACCGTTTTTTTTGTTCATTCACGTAATGAAAAATTTTTGATTAGTGAAATTATTTTAATTTATTTATAAATAAATGAGTTGTTTTTTTAGTATATAATATATGACACACAATGAGCCGGTGATAACATCAACAATAACAGCAACAACATTTTTTTTGTAGCAACAACAATATAAATTTTATATATATATATATTATATGCGATATATAGAAATTTCAATAATTATTGTACACGCAATGCGGAATTAAAGATCTAACGTATAATATATGTATTATAGGTTACTTGCAGATTGTCTTTCTAATTGGGTTACTGATTTAATAATTAATGAGTTAACGGGATTACTAAATTGCATTTGTGTAGATATATACGTAGATCTTTATTCAGCGTTAAAGTAAATCGTATTTAGTACACCTCGATAAAAAAATACGATTTCTTTAATTTCCAGCCTTTATATATTTAAGTTTCTATATATCTATGTTTATACACACATACATATGTTTAGTATATAAATATTTGAAGACCTTAAAGTCTTGCGTGAGTTTAATTTTTAAACGACTACCAACGTTGAAACCATTGCAATCTACACATAATGAATATGTCTACTAGCTGTAATGCTGTAGTTCTGGCCAATATATTATGTGTTATTAATATACGCGTGCTCAAGTTTACCATACTCTTTGTAATAAATCGCGCTGCAATCATAAAAGTTTTTCTATCTTGGGGAATGTGATTTCTCCTGGTGTCTCTTCGGAATTTCTCCATTGTTCTCCTTTTTGGCTTCGGTTGTAGAATACGTTATTGGTGTTGTTCATCTTAATATTAGTGTTCCATCACAGCACGGTTTCCATTTCGGCAATTTCCGTTCTCGGCCTGCACAAAACGCAATGGTATCATTTATTAATCCCTCTGTCACGTCATACAAAACAGGGTCATAGCAGTTATGCCACTTGTTTCGTGGATGTCAGATGTCGGATGGCTATTTAATAGCCTATGATTTATGTACCCTATCGTTTCACGAGTTCGAAGTACACCTAAATTAAGCAAAAAGCGGAATGGGAATTGAGGGTATTTGTCTGCGAGACTGTAGAAGGAACGGAAGAAAAGGGATAATTACTCTTTCACGTTGGCTAGTTCCCTGGTGAAAGCACAAATCAACAAAAAAAAAACGACGTTTCATTTTAGTTTTGTTATACTTCTAATATAGGACGAGAAACGCTAGAACGTATTTCTTTCTGTTTAAAGATATATTTACAAGGCTATATTTAAAGATTGTATTGATCTTTGAAAAAGTAGAAATAGTGTATTTCCTTGAAAAGCATTTAGAGTAAAACTAATTTGTATAATGTATTACAAATATGGTACAAAATTTTCTTATTTCAGTTTTTCTTTTTAATTTAACTGAAATAATTAATATATATGAAAAACCCTCATATACAATTCATTGTACATCTTTGTACAAGTTATAGATAAAACAGTAAACATTGTGAATTTGTATTATGTTTGAAGAAAAATATGATGTTAGAAGAAATTTAGTAATTTCATACAAATAAAAAAACATAAACGTATTTTGTTGTAGAAAATAACTTCATTGCTATTCGTTTAAAATACAAAAATAAAGGAATTTAATTTGCTTAGGTTTTTTATTTATTAAGAAATAATGATTTAAATTGGTAGTCTGTATTTTCATAAATTTAAAGATTTTATGTTTATATAACGAATTATAAATAATAATAGATTCATTTTTGGTATACTTTTGTAAAAATATAGAAAATTTCCAAAAAAAATCATATATGGTTATAATTTATGTTTGCTAGTAATATTATTTCTTTAAATTCTCTGTATTAATAATACAATTGCTTCATAGAAAACTATGCAAAAACAATGGAAATTCTGTATAAAAAAACAGGAAGTGTTTTGTGGCAATTGTCATGAAAATAGAGGTAGAAATATTAATTAAAGAGGAAAACGTGCAGTGTACATTTGCAGTAATGGAAATGTTCTCGAAATAAACTCTAGTATTCCCATTGTCGAATATAATGGAAACGCACCCTCCCACAATGAAGTGGACATCTTTGGTGTGATTTAAATTTGAAATACGTGCCGCAATCCACAACAAGTCCCGATTCAAACAATAATTTGAAGCGGTCATAATGCGGAAACGGATGCAAATGAGATGTCGGCAAAATGCTATTACAACAATACGGACATTTATATTAAACTAGAATATCTTCAGTGTTCTATTCTATTCAGTTCCAATTCAAGTAACCAGACCATTGACTTAATTTTACTTTTATTAAGTATTTCGTCTACTGTATTATGTTATTCCTTCGTTTTATTCATGTCAAGAACAAACATATTTGATGCTGATAGGAACTTGTTAAAACAACAGCTTTTTAGACATTTAGTTCAATTACATTCAGGTAACTTATACTTTTGAACTATATTATTTAAATAATTATAGTAAATAAGAGTACTTTAGAAGGGTATAACGACATATTTCATACTTTTATTTACGACAGCGTCAGAAAGTAAAATATTTAATTGCTAACTGCTAGAAGATAACAACTGCATCTACGATGAGCTTTGTCATAAAATTTATAGCATCAATTAAATTTACGTTAAGACAACCTACGTTGGTTACCAAATTCGGTAACTATTCCTTAATAAAAATCAGGGCATAAAATGATTTGAATCCAATTACGAGAATTCCTTTTGTTTTACTTTCAATTTCAAATTCGAATTATCGATCAGCCGACATTTTCGCATCCACTTAGCAATTGTGTAGAAAGAATAATACAATCAGGAAGGAAAGGCACGGTAGCGTAAAGAGTTTCAAAGGAAAATTGCATTAGACGGAGGAGTGGAAGCTGAGGGTAAAGCACGAGATAAAACGCTTTGTAGATGGAGTAGAATGGAATGGGTATAGAAATTAAATTTATGTAAAATCCAACATCTGCATCCCGATTGTAGTAATAGAAATACAGGCGGAAATGCCGTTGCAAATACTTACTCGAGATCCAAGTTGATAGCGCCATGGTCAGGTTTGAAGCCCCTCAGTCTAGCCCTGGCTTGTTCCCCAGAAACGATTACGCTGCAATTATCAAAATAACTTCGCATTGGTCAGGTTATCGTGGTGATTATGTCTAATTAACAATTATCTGCATTCTATTTATAGTAGTAATTAACAGTAACATCCCATCTAAACGCGTTCATCTCACAATTTGCATAACTATATCTAATTGTATCAATCGATAGAGTATTGCATTAATTTGTGATTCATACTAATTAATAACCATCCTCGTCAGACATAAATGATTATGGCATCCATTTAAAGTACACATCTATTACTGATATATTAACTTTCTTTTTTTTTTATTTGTAATAACTAACATTTTTCAGATCATTCATTAATATTATACAATTTTATATAAAAAATAAATACATAGCTTTTCATTATGGTCAAAAATAATATAATTATATTATTATTTGTTGTGCTACTAAAGATAAATTTAATACCAATAACTTTGATTCTTTCATACATAAGATTACATCATTATGACAATTTTAATTAAGCTGTAAATCTTTATTTTCACAGTATATCTTCTACAAAAATATATTAAATATTCATCAATTTTTAATTTTAAATTTATATTAATTTATTACGTAACAGTAACGTAAATAAATGTCTCCAGAATCGTTGAAAACCCTTTTGTTGATTTACGTCTTTGCATTTGTTTATTGGATTTTTATAGTAAATATGTTATATAATAAATTTCAATGTATTGCTAAAACAATATTTCTATTTTAGTTTAGTTTGTGTTCGGTTATAGTCTAATGTAATTAGGATTAATTTTAGATACAATTCCGTTAATTTAATTATAATTAAGCTTAAGTGATAACAATAATAGTATACGATGCATCTAAAATTATTGTTATTGCTCTTTCCTCTTCAAAATCATTATTGTAATTTGAGAAAAATGTGTATTTAAATAAACAAATTTAGTAGATAGCAACTTATAAGAAGGTATTTTTTTTAATTATTATATAAGTTACAATAATTTTCCAGATAAATAAAAAAAAAATGATATATATATTTTCAAACTTAATCAGTTTCTAGTTGACAAAGTTTTCGTCCCTGGTGGTGAAACTTATTTTTTCTTTTTTCCAAATATTTTAAGTGTGGTTCGTTTTCGAAGTTTACTAAAAGTTTTATACTACTTTTGAACACCCGAGAGTGCTTTTCTTGTTTGCTATTTAAAAAAAAAAGAACAGATGAAATTAGTGCAACTAAATTGTTAATTAAACACGCTACCAGTTTTTTCTTTGCACACCTATACACAAAGCTTTGAAGTCAACTCATTCCTTATTACTAATTTGCATATTTCTCTTTCCAGACATCAAAGAAAAATGTGAACGTGTATAAAGATGTATCATCAAATTACTTAATGAAAGAAATAGAAATATTTGTTTCTTTTTTAGCACAAATGGGATTTTTTTGACTGTACTTATTTATAAAATAAATTATTTGAATTATATTCAAATAAATATTTAAAAAAACTGTCATATCTGTTATACTTTTATACAGAATAATGTTTTATCTGACGATGATTAATATACGAATATTTATCAACTAATAATAAGCTATGTATTTATTTTTATTCTAGTAGCGGTATTAAAAATAGAATTTATATAATGCTAACATTTATATGCGGTATAGACATTTACACTAAACACAACATTGAGTATTTTTGCCAATATTATCACTTTACCAAAAAGTGATTACTCTAAATAAAATATAGTGTTTCTTATATTAATGTAAATAATGTTACTATTTCATTATCCTGCATCATCTCTGAAAACTGTGTTACCTTTGTCAATCATTCACATTTCAAATTCTCTTTATTAGGATAACAACCTTTGAAGTTTGTCTCGTAAAAGGCAGACATCATCTGATAATAATCATTTATATGAGCTATTGGAAGGGCAATTACCCCGTACCGGCAATTAAATTGTTAGTTGTTCCTTCTATTCAAAGGGCGCTACGAACTTTCACCAATAAACTTTCATGTGAATTTCACGACTTCAGTTCGAGTCACGACTACGAATTTGTATTACCTACTTTCTGTCAAATTAACAAATTCGTGTAAAATGTTGTTCGAATTATAGTTTAAGTAAAAATAAAAATAAAAATGCTCAAATTTTTATTTTATTTTCTTGAGGTGATCAAAATAAAACACTTTTCGAATCTGCAATTTTCTAAGCCTTCATAATAAATTAACTACTTTAATCTTTAATCATCATAATATAATATTCTTGTTACATTATTAATTTAATAATTACAAAAATTTTAATCATTTGTACTCATTTTCTGGTAATATTAACCTAATGCGGTCTTATTTTATTTTCACTAGAATGCACAGTAGGTCCAATTTTATTTTTCGCAAAATTGCGTAAACACAACAATGCGTTTGTTGTTGCGACTACCGTTAGACTACCGTTTCTCAAAGTTTTTGGTCCGCGACCACCTTTTGCACTTAAAAAAATTAAAGGACCCCCGAAGAATGGGTATGTGTAGAAAAATGTAGAAAAACATACCGTCCAGTCTGTCATCAATATTTCTGCGACCGCCCAAGTCGCAACCGACACTTTGAAAATCACTTGTCTAACAGAACCCTTGATGATATACCAGGAAATAAAAAAAGTTAAATTTTTAGCATGGAAGTCTCAATGTCGGGGCTGCCACGGCACAGGACCACAAAGGGTTAAAGAAAGTTCACACAACAATTGTAATAAATAATTTTGTTATTAATATTGTATCTGTCGTTAGTACATAAAAATATATAAAGAAAATAAAAAAAAACATGCAATTGAATAATTAAATACAATCATGCAAGTTCACTATTAATCGTGTGTTGTGTTACGTAATTACGTGATAATATTGGCAAAGGGATCAAACTACCACATTCCTGAATTAGACACCTAAGCCATGAACTTACTCAGGTGAACCAGCAGAACCCAGACAGGACGTAAGACAGTTGCTGCGTCGTTGACGCCTACCCATACATAACAAATTACATGTCGAGGGGGGTTGGTTGGTTTGGGGTTGGTGAGTGCTAACTATTTGTCAATACTACGGGAGGATCCACAAATTGTAACAGGCAGTAAGTAATCTCGACAAAACGTGGGAAGAGGCCAATTATGATCAAATTCAATATTCCAATAAAATGAGTCAATTAGCATAACGGAAAATAAATAATAAAACACAGTAGAAAAACTAAATTTTGATGTCCATCAGTGAAATTTTACATAAAAATATTATATATGTATAGTTATCAATTATAATTTCTGTAATTTTATTTAGGATTTTTTAATATTAAGTTTTTTGCTTTCGAAGTTAATACTCGGTTTAATCTTGCATTAGTTATGATCCTTTATTGTTAATGATTATTATTTTATATTGCAATTTCATTATTAATTAATTCACAATAATTATTATTATGTCTGTATAACCATTACATAACTTCTATTTAGTTTTTACGTTCAAATTTGCTGTATTATACTTAGAAATTTTGAACAATATATTATTAGGGTGTTTCCTAATATGAATAGTAAGTAAATGTGCATTGAAATTTGTTACTCCTGCATATAGTTTTTATTTTAAGAAAAAAAAAATAGTTGCGAGTTATCAAACTTTTCTTTCTGTTAATAAATTTTACAAAATATCAAATGTGAAATCTCCTATTAAAATTATAAGATAATTAATTATTTATTTTATATTTTGATTCATTTGTATACTATTATTTGTTACAAAATTGTGAGAACATTATTATATTTTTTACTCAATTTAATATATATATATATATATATATTTATGCACTACCAGTAAATATATATTTAGGTTAAGTTAAGTCTTTATAATAAAATGATTTAGTTAATGTTTCTTAATACAATATATAGAATGAACGATAATTAGTCTGTTTCAAAAGTTAATTGTATTAATTAATGGATAAACTTACAGAAACTGTGTAAGCCTTACACTGTAAGGTAACGATATACTATAATTTGTGTTAGTGAACTACGTAATTCAAAAATATCCAAATAAAAAATCTGGTTTGGTAAAAATGTCTTTTTTATGCAAAATTTCACGATATGTCATTCCCTCATGCGCCGTGCTTCGATTGTATATAATAGTAATGTGTGTTGAAGGATTAATGTACAAGAATGAAGAGCATCAGAGACTTACCGTTTACAGGCCGGAGGTGGTTTAATTCCATTTGCTTCAAGTTCTTTCTCGAGCTGTTTGCACCTCATTTGAGACAAATCCAATTCTCGCTTTACTTTCCAGAGATGAGTATCACAGATTGGATCTCTGCAGCGATGATTCCGCAGAATGTCCTGCGCTTCGTAGACGGCACCCCGGAAGGTCAAGCTCTTGCCCATCGATAAGCTGATAAGCGCACAGCAGCCGCCGCGATCCGTTTTCGCCAAATGCTTCCGCACGTATTTGAAGTACAGATATTCCAGAAGAAGTAGAAGCGCTGCCAGAAGGATACCGGCCATGAGGAGGAGGAAAGCGGATAAGAATTGTTCGAGGGCCAGGGGATCGGAAGTTTTTATCTCTTGTTTTCCCGGTTTGCAAGTGCCGGTCATCCAGTATCTGCGCAACCTCTCCAGATCGCCGTTTTCCCGGAAGTCCAACATCTTCTTGTTGAACATCTTCAGATATTTCGAGTTCCGCGGGAACGCCAATCCATATCCGGTCATTGCGTACCATGAACCGACAGTCAATAATCGGCAATCCTCGTCCTGTGCGGTCAAATAATCCAAAACTGTTCCGTCGTATATGAAAGCATCCATGTCACCATTCAGAACTGCATTAACTCCCTCTTGAACAGTGGATTTGTTATAGGTCTTCATGTAAGCGTGCATGTCTTTGAAGTACTTGGAAATTGTGGAATCAGTGTGTGACCATGGAATGGTACCAAATTTAAAAAGAGGCTTGTGAGAGAAAGGCTTGCATAAACGATGGTCGTCCAGTCCTGAAAAATAAATAAAAAACGAGAAACGAAATTAAATAATTGCGAAGCACCTTGTATATGTTCAATAGATTTATAGAGAATGTTTTTGAAGTGAAAATACTGCTGGTTGATATATGAGTCAAGTACATTACCCGGTCATAATTTAGAGCTTCTCTATATTTTTACAACCACCTATTATTCTTTTGACTAAACCAGTATTTTCTTTTTGTTTTGACTGCCGTTCTTATGCTTACTTACGGTCATAAGATGTCAAGTACTAACATCTATCTTGGTTTTAATTTACTTACATTTATAACTGCCGAAACAGATAATACACTCAGGACATAGTACATGGTAATATGGCTAAAAGTTTCTGGATGAAGGCCAATAATGAATATTTTTATTTCTGCACAAATATAATAACAAATAACTGAATAAATAAATATATCTCCTAGAGGGAGGTAGCCGGCGAAAGAAAGAAAAAATAAATAAAAAGAAATATATTTTTTTTTTCAAGACCTTGTATAATATGAATAGGAGTAAAAGTTTTAATGGAATTTATTAAGTATTCAGAGAATGTGAGTTAAAATGGTTTGAGTTGTGAATTTCGAGAAAAATTACTTAAAGAAATTAAGAGAGATTTTCATAATCTTTGATTTTGGAAATAGGGGACTTATTCGAAGTTTGACCTACATCTAAATGTAGGAATAAATTGAAACATTTTACAATTCATGTTCATTCTCCGCTTGAATATTCAAATATAATCCTCTTACAATGTCGCTAAATCTTCCCCAATTAGGCAACTCGCATACATTTAGATGAGGAGTGGATAAAAGTGAAAATATGGAAATAGTTTGTCACCTGCAAACTCGTAAAATTCCTCGCGGGTTATCATGAAGGCGGCGAGGTTGGCAGTGTAGATGGCAAGGAAGACGACGGCGAAGAGTGCCCAGACGTTGGTCATGAATCGGGCAGTGAATCCACGGGGTGAGTCTACGTGAACGGCGGCTTGAAACAGAACCGCCCATACCAACCAGTAGGTTCGGAAGAGGGAGAAACGATGGGATGCAGATGGGGTTGCCTGAAACAAACATACGCATAATTGTTAAACATTTAAACTAGATGTGTATGCGTTTGGTGTTACTGAGGAACATAGATTCGATCATCGGCATTCGCATTTCATTTCCGCTTACTACGTAACGTTATTACATTTGGTATAAATTTCAAATATACACAAATATAGTCGATATATTTCGTTACGTTTTGAATAAATACATTATGTTTCATATTTAAATAATCAAGTTTCTATATAACCTAAGTCTTGAATTATTTTTGTAAATATTTACTAGAAAGTTAAGACTATATCGTATATATTTTCTTGTATTTAATAGATATAAATAGAATATAAATAATAATAAATTATTCATGAGTGTTATCAAAAAGTATCAAGATTTTAGGATTCTTAAGTTAACGAATTGAAAATATATATAAAATACGTAGGATAGGATTAGTAATAGGATTATTTTAATAATTGTGTTCAGAGAGATTGAAAAAGTTGAAGTAATGACGTCGTGTTTTTAATCACGATGTTTTACATGTTTATGTAACTAATATTTGGGACACCTTGCGTCAAAGCTTCAAAATTATAAACAATAATTAATATTTATTTCTTACTAGTTAGTATTATCTATAACCTGATTGAAAACTTCAAAAATAAATTGCAAAATGGAAATAAAAAAAATATTATAAATCTGATTTGATCTATCAATAGAACAAATATATTGCGCAGAATTGGAAACATTTTTTAGATTTCATTGAAAAGTAAACAGGAAGGAATTGCATTTCACTTCATTCTAACCTCTACACTTTATACATCAGTAAGTGCAGCGAATCATAATCATATTTATTAAACTGAAATCCACTAACATTTTCAACTATTAAATAAACATAGCGGATTTATTATCGCGATTTGAAATTATAGAAATTAAATTGAACAATATTAATATATGTTAAATAGTTTCATTAAATATTAGCATTCATTAAAATCTATAAATATTTCCTATATGTTATGTATATTGAATTGATGTGAATGCGAAATATATATATCCAGCGCAGTCTTTTGGATTTTGAAATGGGCCCCCCAATGAGTGGAAGGGGTAACTTAAAAAAATGTATGATTTTCAGGCCACATAATTCGCGGGGCCCGGGCATTCGCCATTCACTAGGAATTAAACGTTCTAAATGTCTTACGTGTGTAGTTTCTCAAAAAGATCGCTAGTGTCACGCTGGTTCATAAATGTAGTTGAAGTAATCTACATTTGAAAGCCAGTTAACGGCGCAATTATGTAATCGTTACGTTTCTTCCTTATAAAACACTTTCTAGTTCTTACTTTAATATTTTAAATTGTGTTTCATAGTTTGACACAAAACATACTTTTAATTTTTTCCATTTCATCGTTCAAATATAAGGTCAATAAAGTTTTTCAATACATTTCAATTTATAGAAAAAAATAAAAAAGTATTCTTAAAAACTGTAATATTCTTTAAATACATTAGAATTGTAAAATAACAGCTACAATTAAATTTAAAACTACTAGAATTAAATTTTGTTATTTTTTAGTGAAAATCATATCTATAAATCATTAAAAATTAACAAAATTGCGTATTACAAAATTATTGCATTAATTCGCAATGTGTGATCCATCGACGAATATAATTGTAATGCAGTTTTGATTTCAATCATTATCTACTTTTTTTATTCTAATTCCTGTTCAGAAAGTTAATTAAACGATAATTAAGTTCGGATGTCAGAACAGTTGTTTTGCCGACTAATTATCGCTTTAAAAATCGTTTCCGTTTTGTCATCTTGATTTTTAATTAAAAGCATTTAGCTAAATTATTATGTCTATCGCAAATGTCCTGTCTCTACTTATCTTAATTAAGCAAAGACTTTTTTTGTCTGCAGGGTGGAGATTAAGTTAATTAGACTACAAATGCAAAAGAAAAAAAATCTTCTACGACTTTGATGAAATCGTCATTCACACTAAAGATGTCTTTAAATGCACAACAAACTTTTAATTACGTACTTTGTTAGATATGCTAGTCATTAGGAATAATATATGCGTATTTCTCAGTTTAATTAATTCATATATGAATAAAAAACATTACTATTTAAGTTAACTCTTTGCGACACCAGAAATTCCTAAATTTTTGGACAACTACGTCAACTGAGTTGACATCCGATGGTATGCATTATCAAGATTCATCCTTTGACATACCAACCCAATTAAATGATAATTCCTCTTTTCTGGACATTTCTTAGAAAATTATAATAATGCCCCACTAGGTATGTTCAAAGGTGGTACATTGCAACTAGTTAATGATAAATATTGTCAAGTGTTTTTAAAAGATTTCAAATTAGTTTAATAATTATAGCAACACTTAAGAATGATATTTAGCCTTTGCTTCGTCTTCTTTGATAGTTAATTAAGACGCAATAACGAGGTTAAAATATACGAAGCTTCGGAATACAGTAGTAAATACATAACTTCAGATTATTATGATTGTTATTAAAGCTCGTTTATGATATTCACATACACTCATATTCATGTTTTCGAACATTATGTATTTCCATTGTGCAATGTTATGTTGATGATATTCTAAATCCTAATAATCCACTTAGCATGCACCAAAACAAATGTATATATCGTACATATACACAAATAGAGTGTATACATTATTAATAATTTTTGTTTAAATAATTAAATAAAATAAATACAGCATACCTTTGAATATTTCAAAACAAACTAAATTTTAATTCAATTAAAAAGAAGTAGTACACAAAATTATTTTTTATACATAAAAGATCAGTCTCTTTTTGTACGTATTTATGATATTTTCTAGATTAGTTCGGATTCAAGCAGTCCGGAACTGATTACCCGCAGTATGCTGTACACCGTTACAATAATTAATGTATTTTTTCACTCAATAACGTTTTTTTTATTAAAATAAATATAGTTATTATTTATTATTAAAACAGGATTTGATTATCATTTTTTTCTGAATAACGCACATGTAACGGTTATATTAAAATGAGGTTTTCTGCATTTTATTTTAAATCAATATATTTTCATTTGATTTATTTAATATAATAAAAATCGTTAAATTCATATTTCCTGCATTTTTCGTTAAAAAATAGAGAATTAATAAGAACTATTACAAATATATTATAAAGTTTTATATATAAATAGGAAAAGAAGAAAATATAAAAAGAGCTTACCTGATTTAAAGAGAGCTTCATGTCGAACCCGCTAGGTGACAGCCATTCGAAGAGGAAAATAGTAAACGTTGCAGTCTGTATCGCGACGATTCCAACTAACATCCAAGAGGCGGCATCAAAGGGCTCAAGAAAAGCCGTCGGTGATATAATACCTGTACGCTTTGCCACAATAATAGCGATTCCGGTTTCCATAAAGGGCACGCTAAAATCCACCTGGAAAAAGAGAAAAACGAATGTTAATTAACTTTCGGCTTAATTAGGTAGCTGCAGCTGCGTGGCATCCGAAACCGCGGAAACCGAAAATCCTTCCAATTTAAAAATGATTTAACCATCGACAAAGCGGCAATACTGGAGCTTATATTTTGTGCTTTTTCACTGCCTACATGTGTCTCCGCTTTTTTTTCAATACTACATGTACATGTACTACAATTCGTTATTTCAGCACGTACATTCCAATACACAAAATGTAAATCAAATACGATTGCCAATTAATAGGGCTTATGTAAATATTTTTGTAATTTACTATTTCTCGATTTGTACTAGAATATTTGTTTATTTTATTTTTATGTTTACGTGTAGCGAACACTATTACCATATAAACGTATACATTAAGATTAATTAAAACATTATCTGATATAAAAAAAAGTTCAGTATACTAACTATATAAATATCGACCAAAATAAAGTTTATTTCTTTTTATAGGAATTTCAAGGGATTCATTGGAATTCCCTTAAAATAATACCAACGATTCCAAGTAGATATTTTTATTGGAATTTCAGAGTCCGGGGAAATAGGAATTCAGATAGGAAAATACTGGTTCAGGGTATTCGGTGTACGTATTTAATTACTTTTTTGTTGTAAAAGAATGTTTAATATATATACAAATAATATATACAAAAATATATCAATTTAAATGTATGTCACATGTATATTACATAAATTACTGCCATGTGCATCAATTAATATATGGAGATTTTCCAATTACAGTAAACTAACAGTGACTAACTGTTACTATATCCCATATTTTATGTTAACAGTGCGGACACAGTATGATTAAAGGCACATTTTCTGCGAGATTTATACAAAAATCACTTTTTCGAAAGACTTTGAATGTACATCATTAATGTTTAAGCGCAAATGTTAAAAGTGGCAACACCGTGCGCCGGCAAAAAAAGATTGTTATTCGTTGAGAGTTCGTTGGATATAGTTAAATAGTACTGTGAATTGTAATAAATAAATCAAATAAAATAGTTGTGTGTGTGGTGAGAGTACGAAGGAAGCATTGATCAGATGCCCAGAGTAATCCCTCCAAAGCGTGAGGTTAGGTAATGGGCGTGCCCTGTTTTACTATTTATCCGCGCAACTTCGAAGATTGTCCAGAGGTTGTGTGTGTGATAGCGTACGAAACTGAAGTACGGAAGAAAATATCATTGGGCGGATACTCAAAGTAACAAGGCTTTGTATCTTCCCTATCTTCTACAAAGTTCACCCGCCGAAGAGTGAGGTTAGGTATTCAGAAGATTTGTCGTTTTATGCATCGCTTTATCTTTACTCGCGTAACTTAGTTCTATTACAAAGGTTTTGTGTGTGTAGTAAACTTAGATAAGTAAAGTACAAGGAAACTATTTTTGGTTGTACCTAGAGTAATTCCTCCGAAAATAGGTTAGGTACTAATAATATCTAGTTGTGTAAACCTATTACCCACGAAACTTGGTTCTTATACAAAGGTTGTGTGTGTATTAAACATAAAGAAGTAATGTCACAATGAAAATTAGGATTTGGACTGCATTTAGAGTAATCCCTCCAAAGAGTGAGGTAAGATATTAAGTATACCTGGTTAGACTTACCTGCACAACTTGGAATTGAGGTTATGTATGTGGCAATAGAACAATCATTTGAAAATTTGAGGAGCTGCGAATTAAAAACTACTCGAAGGAGACTTCGAAGAAAGTTAGCATAATTCATATGCTAATAAATTGAAGCTCATGTGGACCTTGAGTTGCATATTGAAAAGGCAATAATTTGGATTGATGAATTGACACAACCCATATGGATATAGCAAAGAAGATGGAACCGGATGAAAAGGTAAATACATATTTAAATGAACATGAAGAACTTTTGGAAATGATATTATATACAGCTGTAGGAAAAGCAAGATCTAAATTGATGGCTGATAATGATTTGAGGCAGTCACCACAAACTAGTAGAAAGTGTTGTTCAGTATTTGAAATGAATGATCAATGCCAATAAATAAAAAGGGTTAATGAAATTGAGGAAGTGCAAACTCCTATTGGATGGGAATATACCCAAGATGGATGAAAGCAACCATTTCAAAGAGTCACTTGTACTTCCAGAAGAACATTATGTGTTAGAGAACACAATTGGTTATTACAATGATAGCTATAGAAGTAAATCTCAAGACAAATAAAGAGATAGTGTTGAATCAAAAGAGATTTCTGATAAGACACTCATTTATGTCGACGAACGACAGGAGGATTTCGCCGAAATAAAAGAAGAATGGAAATCGGAGGTAGAGGTAGTGAAATACCAGTTGATGTCATCAAGTATATAAGATCGACATGGACCAGATTGTTATTAAGTTTGTAAAGTGGTAAAATAGGCAACGCTGCAAGTGCGCTCCACGTTGAAACTATGTTTCCAAAATTCGGGGAGACCGCAGCGAACCGCGAAAGAAGACGGTTGAGGTCTCCAGTTAAGAAGATTTAAAATATATATTTATAAGCTCCAATAGGACGGTGTTGGTGCTCTAGAGAAGGAGAAGAAGTGTGCTGATCTGATGAAGTAGCTATAAGAGTTCTTCCTCTCGATAAAAGGAATTGGCGCCCTGAACCTTCCCACGTCACGGACTCACGCCCTAGCCGGCTAAAGATTTGTATATCTTGTTTTTTTTTTATGTACACGAGCGCTATCGTGTTACATTTTTGGCGACCAACGTGGGGCGACGCTAGGCGTCGGATCAAAAGTGTAGTTAAAAGAAGATTAAAGGACGTGAGGAAGAATAGATAAATTTTAATTAAAAGGTACGATTTTTGAGAAGATTTTATTTATCGTTGGTACGGTTTTTTCAGAACGATAATCATTAATTTTTTTTTGTTGTTGCTTATCAGTTTCAATTCAGTTTATTCGAATTTGAAGACATTTTTTCTACATTAGTTATTTTCAATTTAGTTTAGTTTTGATATAAATTTAAATATAAATATGGATGTACAAAGACTCTTGAAAGATGAATGCATAGATGCAATTAACGGTGCGCGGTGCAAGAGTTTTCGACCACTCAACGCACAATCAGTTGAAGAGTAGACTTCAACACCTCTTCTATTGCATGAAACTTGGGAGGTACAAAGTCCCATAACGGCGGTGTCTTACGACGGGAACAAGGAGATTGCAGCCTGTAAGCGGAAGATTGAATTTTTGGCAAAATTGGTAGAGCGTTTTCATGGGTCATATGAGTCAATCTTGGCACAGTGGATTGAAACGAAGTTGATCCATTTAAATTGCCGTTTGGTAAGGTTTCCTGAAGAATTGAAATCGAAGGCAAAGGAGTACAAAATAAAACTGGATGAATTGGAAGAAGCGACGTGGATTAAATGTGAGCAATTTGAAAATGATGAAGGAAAATCTTATGTTCATCCACTAACCGAGGAAGAAAGGGATATTATTATGGATATAATATACAATATAGAGGACTCTGTTAAGGATGATGTCCAAAAATTAGTTATTAAAGAAGAAAATGACTATCAGGTGAAAGAAGAAACTAATGAGGTCATCTATGAAAAGGATCCAAACATTTCAGTTGCCAGCAGCTGTGATAATAATTTATCTCAATTCAAAGATGATCCTTAATTGGAAGATAGTATTGAAGATGAAGAAAATGAAGAAGAAATACCTTTGTCTGCACAACTTGAATCATCTATAAGAAAAATTGAATCTGAAGAAGATGATGTGCCATTCACCTCAATAAAGAAGGTGAATAAAGAGAAAAGGAAAAAGAGGAAAAATTATGGTTCAGATGTTGAAGAAGAAGAGAAATATAAGGTCAAGAAAGAAAAGAAGGCGAATAAAGAGAAAAGCAAAAAGCGGAAAAGTTTAATCCGATGGATGAAGACGTTAAACAGAAGACTGCAATTAAGAAGAAGGATAATCAGAAAACGTTGTTTGGAAAATTCAAGTGTTTGGGAAAACCAGATGGAAGAAGAAGAATTATTTAAGTCAACATCAACGGCGAACCAAATGGAAGGAAAAGTAGTCGAGAAGACTTACTTGACGGAAGGAATTGACCTTGTTTAGAATATCTTTTTTGTTTATAGTCATTATTATTATCATTAGTATTAATTTTTTTTTGTAGGGAAAAAAACTCATAGTAGAATTATTCGTTTTTTTTTACCGGGAAGGGAGGTAGATGTAACGTGGTAAAATAGACAACGCTGCAAGTGCGCTCCACGTTGAAACTATGTTTCCAAAATTCGGGGAGACCGCAGCGAACCGCGAAAGAAGACGGTTGAGGTCTCCAGTTAAGAAGATTTAAAATATATATTTATAAGCTCCAAGAGGACGGTGTTGGTGCTCTAGAGGAGCTAAGGCCCACCGTCGGTGAAGAAGTGTGCTGATCTGAGGAAGCAGCTATAAGAGTTCTTCCTCTCGATAAAAGGAAGTGGCGCCCTGAAGCTTCCCACGTCACGGACTCACGCCCTAGCCGGCTGAAGATTTGTATATCTTGTTTTTTTATGTACACGAGCGCTATCGTGTTACAAGTTTCTATCACATTCAAAATTGCTTCAGGAGTGGATGATCTATTTCTGTACGAAGTCTGCATGAACGGCGAGCGAAATGGAAGGAAAAGTTTATTGTGACGGAGTCTGGGGCTCGAGGTCGATTGCTAGCAATCTGCTGCAAGATTCGCGATAATTGTCATGCACAGCAAGCGGACTGTTACTGAGGAATGAAATAAAGGGATAGCCGAAATGGAAGTCGAAATGGAAAAGAATAAAGAGCAACCATCTAAATTGGTGGATGTTGCTAGTGACAAGATTAGTTTTCTGGCGACTATAGGGTTAACAAAGCTCGACAAGAGCAAGAAAGAAAGCAGAAGAAAAGATCTTCAATTAAAAGACCAAAAAGGTATATAGAATAAAACTATGACGCATCGTTATCTAGCAGGAAAAGAAATAATATTGTGATGGTTTGCAAAACGAACGAACTTCTGAAAAATAAGAAGACGAAAACAGCACGCACAACAAAAAATTCTGTTAGGAAACGACGATGAATTAAACAAAAAGTCTTCCTCGATTGATGTCAAGGATGTACCTAGCTGTTACCGATTGTTTATTTTGTGGTAGGTTTTGTACATAAATGTAAATATATTTATTAAATGATATTATATATTTGTTCGGACAACTTTTTTGAAATTATATATATTTATTTTGTTTTTTTTATTTTTGTATATGTTTTTTTTGTACGACTGATGCGATAAACATTATTATTATATATTTGTTAATAAATTTTAATAAAAGAAAATTTTAATTATAGATGTGTTTTATTTTTTAATAGTATTATATAATGTTTATAGAACAAGGGTCGGCAATGCGACGCCCGCCATTCAAATATCTACATTCTAAATTTTAGATATTTAAACAAAATATTACTCCTCCCCACGGCAGTAACCGGCGAACTCACGCATATCTAAAATATGCCCTCCTAATAATAAAGGTTGCCGAGCGCTGTTCTAGAAAAATTGAGCAAGAAATCAGTGAGCTAATTCATAAAACTATAAATTAATATATATATTCATTGGCGGTTCATTGTTAATTTATATAAATATGCAGACAGCGTTTCTTAATATTGACTCGCGTTAAATTATGAATAGATAGAGTTTTTTGACGTCTATGTGAGGAACTGATGAAGTAGTCTTACATCTTATTGGTACCTTTCTTTTAATTTAATTATATAAACAATATCGTCACAATACAACTATAAACAAATATTTTGAATCGTGCGGCAAGTCGGTTGTTAAACGTTTTTTTTAGTGGTAAAGCAACGTTTTGCATTAGATAGGCAAGAAAGTACGTTTAGTTTTTTAGTTTGACATAAAACTTTTCTTTTATATAGAGAGAATGAACTTTAATCAATTATATACCAACTGCGATTCCAAAGATGGTAAAGATTTCGAAATAAATGGTAATCTGATCATGGCTATAGACGATATCACTTGTCAACCAACCAAGCTCCAACATTTTACCTTTTTTTCTTAGATTTCTGTCTCCTGTTTCATTGGTTGTTCATAGTAAACATCTTAATTGGTCGCTAGGATGATGCTCAAAATATACACAACATCTTTGTAATCGCACCAAATTGATAGGTATCTATCAATTTTCAATGTGATACATTTAACCACTAAGCACAATTATATGACAATCTCATTAATTGACTTTGATTAAGTCAACATAAACTTTAGTAGGTTGACCAGAATGTCATCTTTGGGAGAAAAATCTCCAAAACGGATTTTTTTTTAAACCAATTCTGACAAGTAAATTCTGTTCAACAATCAATATCAGAAACTTCACATATCGCGCAGGAAGCGCTACTGAGGCTCAGTAGCATTCTTGAGTTTACTGTAAATGATCGTTTTTGCACTCCTGCTAAAATTAACCCTACACTAACAGATGTAAACATTGTAAGTAGAATAAGTATTTAGAATTAGTATCAGCAGAAGCTTTAAAGATAAGCATAGTCTCAGATGAATCTTAAATCGACCAAATAACAAATAAAGTTATGTTAAACCAAGCGAATTTCATTAAATTGCGAAGAACTGAGACTCCAAACGATAGCATCCGACAATATTCCACTGAGTCCAGACTGTACTGGTTTTTTCCTCAAACTTCCTGTCTTTACTATGACCTCTAATGTAACGTCTTTTAAGAGGTTTGAGTATTGCAAAAGCATATACGACTAATATCTTCACTTTAACATGTATTCAGTTCCAATAGATGCTGTTCAAATTAAATTAAATTAATTAAATAAAAAAGTTGTATGTGTGGTGAGATTACCAAGTACCGCACAGAAGATACTCTAAGTAATTCCTCCGAAGCGTGAGTTTAGGTAATCAAATTTTGGTCGAGCACTGTATTTATATTTATCCTGTGTGTGATAAGCGTATGAAACTGGACTACGGAAGAAAATATCGTTTGGCGGATACCTAAAGTAATCCCTCCGAAGAGTGAGGTTAGGTATTTATCCTTTAAATACCTAATGGTCGTTGCGCATCATATTTCCTTTACTTACGCAACTTAGTGAAATACATAACGAAGGTTATGTGTGTAGTAAACGTACAAAAGTAATGTACAGGGGAAATAGTGTAGAGTAACTTCTTCGAATAGAGAAGTAAGGTACTAATTATATCTAGTTGTTGAGACTCATTTTACCAGTGCAACTGTAGCATTCTAGAAGTAAAGTCACAATGAAAACTATGATTTGAATATCTACATGGCTCCTCCAATTTATTAACAAATTTATTGAACCATGCCAACTTTCTTCGAAGACTCCTTCGAGTAGTTCTTGATTCCTCCATACTGGTCATCATGCAGCTTACACACAACCTTTGGACTCAATTCCAAGTTGTGCAGGTAAGTCTGTATCAATGACCAGGTATACTTAATATCTTACTTCACTTTTCGGAGCGATTACTTTAAGTGCAGTCTAAATCATAGTTACCATTGTGACATTACTTCTGTGTGTTTACCACACACACACACAACCTCTGTAGAAGAATCAAGTTAAGGGTTTCCACAATTTGATATTATTAGTACCATACCTCTCTTCAGAGGAGTTACTCTAGGTACAACCGACAATACTTTCCAATCAATTTACTTCTGTACGTTTACTACACACATAACCTTTGATATGTATTTGAATAAGCTGCGTGAGTAAAAGAAACGCGATGCACAACGACGGAAACTGGTAACTCCACTAACGAGTAGTTTTGGTATTTCAGTGGGTGCGAGAGAGATAACGCATGACTACACGTTATCTCAATGTCTCTTTTTGGTTTGCATGTATTGATTTTGGTTTTATTTTAGAAATACATCTCAATAATTTATTGACGTATTTATTTTCTTATCCACTCTAGTCTTAGGTGAAGTTGCCCTAAGGTTTTATGTTTAAAAATATATACAAACAATTTTGTTATATGGGTATTTTCATATCCAGTGGTCTAGGTCAAGTTTCTGTTAGAGGTTTTTTTTTAAATAACATAAAAACAATTTGGTTATATGGGTACAACTC